CATAAGGTGTGAAATTCAGTTGTCTTTCTGTGTAGTCAATCAAGTTAAAATGAAATGAGAACAACATAGTACCTTGAAAAGTGTGCATATGATTACACAGATGACACGAGGAGTTAAATAGTTGTAAATGAACTTCTTTTATAAACTACTACCAGTGATATTTTGGATTAGCCTCTAGCCAACTATATATGTGCGAGGTTATGACATTGAGTTTACTGAAAATGTATGTTCATGGTTGGTTCTTTGTCTAAAATGTACTTGTTGCATTTTACGTGTATTAATATCAGTTCTTTTTATTTTTTGTGGCACTTAAATTTTCATTTATTGTAGTTTTACTCATAAGATCCACTAATTCAATTTTTTTGTTGCTCACATGAGTTCTCTACTATTAAAAGCATGTCTCTATAATGGAATAGTTTGTAGTAGGATAATGAAGTCACACTAAGCTGATGAGATAGTAGTTATGAAAATTCAATGAAAATTTTTTGCATCTTGGAAGGATAAGTTATGCAAAACGTTATGGTGAACACAAGAAGAGAGAGAATAGAGAACAAAAGAGGTGGAGAGAAAAGGGGAAATGAGAGATTAGAGACAGAATTTGAGAAGGAAATTTTAGTATCTCAATAATTTATTCCATAGTCTATGTAAATCAAATATTCAACTCCTATTTATGCTTAACATTTCGAACAAGAGATTTAAATTTACTAAACCATGAATATTGAAAATACGGGTTGGGAATAATGAAAATCAATCAAAATAGATTCTAAAAATATAGTCATGTCTACTTAACTTTCTTTTTGTTATTTACATCTACATTCTGTGTGCTTCATGAGTACATACAGGGATAGTTATATTAAAAATAAAAAAATTGGATAAAGAGCAATTTTTAACATGAAAATCTCATTTGAATAAAATGTTACGATCTTTATTTTTTTATTTATTTTATACTTGCTGATAGAAGCAATTGAAAATCGTGTGCCACAAGTGATTGTAATTGATGAATTTGGCACAAAACTTGAAGCCTGCAGCTCAAATGCCATCATAGAATTCAGTTAGCCACATCAGCTCATGGAGTGACTTTATAATATTTAGTG